AACATGATCTCTAGATCTCTTGCAAAATCACCATATCCCACGGGACACACACTGATCTGAAAGATTTGGTTTAAAACTCTTATTTCTCTGTCCATAGTCAGTTTGGTGGTATTAAAAACAGCAAATTGCACTGGTGATATTTTTACTGAGTTCTGGTTTACCAGATTTTCCTAACTTGGCTCTGTAGCAAATTCCTCACATCTCAATAGTCGTGAATGGATTCATAACGTGCATTGGAATAATAAGGGTAGGGGGGAAGTGTCTAGGAATAATACATGAAAGAGGCCAGAGGTGTTTGGGCAGCAGCAGGAGATTTCAGGGAACAATAAATATTAGCAGTGAATCATTCTCCTCTCCTAACTTGCCTCTCAGGATGCAAGCTATGTCGTCTTCTCTGGGATTCTCAAGCCAACCTCTTCCTCATCTCACCTGCCTTACACATTCACACCACTCTCTCTCTCTGCCTGCACCAAGAATATCACATGCTCATTCTTCTGCCCCTGCTAGATGTCTGCCATAGCAGTGGGCTCTTCTTGCTTTAAAGAGCTGTTGTAAATACTGATTTTTTTTTTTTCACTCAGCCCTAATTTGGGTTAAATAAAGACTTATAAGTAATAACACAGGCTCAGTTCTGGTTAAAGTAAAAAAAAATCCAACTTTAATTCAACTTTTTACTTCCATTTCAATTTGATTTAAAAACACACTTTGTTTTAATAGATTGCTACTATCTGTGTAATCATGATGTTTTTAGTGGTATTTACAAGTCTGTCAATATTTATTTCAACAGCACATTTCAACATAAATTATTCAGAATCTATTTCCAGATTACCAGCAGCAGTATTGAGCAGGAGAAAGTACAAGTCACCATAAAACTCTACTATAACAGGTACTTTTGAAGACCTGTCATCTGATCAGCCCTTAACCATTTCACGTATGTTTATCAGAATTCTCTGTGATACTAAGTCAATGGTATTACAAAAGCCTAAAAAGTATAACCTTTTCCTGTTCCATTTATTAACTCAAATTCTAATAACCTTGAAAATGTGCACTAATGCTTTTTCAGTAGTATTAACTTCATCTGCATTCTTTAGTTTTTTATTGCTGAATTCTACATAGCTTTATCTTCATCATTTTGACTCAAACCAATGTTTAACTTACTGATTTATAACCACATTATAATATTGATATTTGTTATATGCTGAAAGCTTTCTCCCTGGAAAAATTTTTTGGTTTAAATTATCTGCAACTGAAAAATCGTCTTAACATTTTCTTATAACATTACATCAATTTTCTTCACAACTTTTTGAAGGTAAGTTTATATTCCATTTGTCTCCAGCATCCCACTCTTCATGGCATTAGTTTAAGACAGCTCTTCCTGCTCCATTTAGTCTCCAAAGAGAACAGTTCTAGCTGGGAGACAGGGGGTAGGGCAACTGCCCTCCCTCCCACCATCAGAGGTCTTGCCTGATGCTCCACTCAGATTAAATCTTCAGTCTCACATTAGGAGCAGCCACAGGTTTTGTCCAATCATTTTTCGGTCTTAGAACTAGAAAATCTCAAAACATATTCAATTTCTCAGCTTCTTCCCTGATGTTTCCTACATCGAGCTTCACGTCATTTTTGCCTGGTTGTGTTCTCAAAAAATGGCTGACATATTTTTGCTGAAACACATGAATAAAACCACCAAAGATGAACATCACACATAGAAATTTTCAGCTCAAATTATGAAAAATATTTATAGTGACGATGCAAATGATGACAAAAAATTGTATATGCCATTTCTGGGTTCAAGTTAAAGTTCTTAAAAAATCAAAGTCATTTTTTTACAATTTGTATCAGAGCAGTGCCTGGGAAACTAAATGAAGATTATGCTCTTCTGTACTAAGCGCTCTTCATGCGTGGTTTTAAAATATAAAAATTGCCACTAACCAATGAATCAAAGCGAAAATAAATAAAGTTATGTAAATTTACAGTGGGTTTAACCACGAAATCCAGATTTTAGAGTTGGGAACATCCCATAATAATATCCTCAGGGTTGGAGCGGGCTACTGGAAATAACCACCGGTCCAATGCACAGTGCCACTGGTAACAAACCTACAAATGCACCTTCTTTCCTGATGGTGGTTTGTTTTCCTGGAGCCTGCAACAGCAGATTCCCACAGTCACTGTCCCAGATGTTTGCAGGCCTGCAGATGTGCGTGGCTTCACATCACCTGAATACTGGCAACAAGCGTTTTGTGGCTCTCCAGCCTGGGGACTGAACTGAGGAGAAATGAGCTGGGGACAAACCAGGCACCTTTTGCAGAGGAGCTGACAGTAGGGGTTGATGTACAACTCCTTCAGGAGCTGGTCAAACCTCATTAGTAACTTCGGTGTTTCTTGCTTTGGTTCTGTTACCTGGTTCAATTGAAGAGACACGGCACCGGATTTGGGGACGCGTCGAGTCTGAGGGGCTGGAGAGCTGCTTCTGCCTCGGCTTTCGGGCAGGGCAGAAAGCAGCTTTTGGGGGGGGTTCTGTGACTTTAGTTAGTTTGACAGGACGGGCAGAGGTGCGCATTTTCCAGCAGCGGCCACGCTGAGAAATTCTCCATGGAAGATTTGCTGTGGGCAAGGCCAAGCGGGCGGAAGGACGCAGGGATGGAGAAGGCCTCGCATGGGACGTACTACTGAAAGGCGCCCTTTCAAAGGTGTCCTGGAGGAGAGGCACGGCCGTGGAAAACAGGAAGCGATATCCTCCGCCCGGACACGTCCGATCCCAATGCCAACGCCAGCCCCGCCCCTTCCCGGTAGCCGCGCCCCACCAGCGGCCGCTCCGGCACCGCGCCTGCGGGACATGCGCGGACCCTACCGGGCTCCCCTCCTGTTTCCCTCCCCCCCGCCTCTTCCTTCCCGTTTTTGCCATGGCGACACCGAGTGGCTTGATCCGGGCCCTACACCGTGGGACCCTCGGCCAGGTAACCGGCCTGGAGCATCTCTCCCGCCGCTTCCCGGTGCGGCCGCTCTGGCTGAGCCCCGCGCTCTGGCCCGGCCCCACCCCCACTTCGTGCCGCCGGCCGGCTCTGCGCATGCGCGGGGCGGGGGAGAGGGGCGGGGCCGGGCCGGCTCCTCAGGGAGCCGCGCTCCGCTCCCGTTTCCCCGCTTCCCACTTCCCGCTTCCCGGCTGGTTCTCGCTGGCTCCGCTCGGCTGCAGGGGCTTTGACTCCGCGGGGAGCGGGAGAGAGGGAGGCCTGAGCCGGCAAGTGCCGGCGTCCTGGCGGTCATTCAATGCTCAGGTACCGCTGGGCGTTGTGCGAGGTTTCAGCGTTGGTCATTGCTTCTTCCCTTTCGATTTTAAATGCGCCTTCTGGCTACAAACTCCTGTCTTCTCCAGTGGGACGGAAAAAACCAAACCTCATAAGTGCCTGAATGGATGTATGTCAGCCCCTCCCCTTGGTACTTACACGACCTCAGTGGGGTGTAGTGTTTAAATTTCTTTGATACATTTGGGATTTTCATAGTAACCATAAGGAGCCTTCCTCCCTCTCATTCCCCTCTGTTGTATTAGAAAATTGAAGTAAAGGAACAACTGATTGCTTTGATTGTATTTTGGAATATAACCCTAAACAATCAGCCAAGTCAGGTAGGTATATATTCGGTGACCTTGTGTTGGTAGGCAGCCTCCTTCATAGTTTTACATCTATGAATGGTTTGCCTTAGAAATCGAAATTCTTCTGTAGCTTGTAGCCTTGTTTTTAAAGTGAGTGGAAGAATTTGATGACAGTAATACTAACATTGCATCATTTTGGAGAATGTTTCCCCTAGTTGGACAATTGGCTTTTTCATTGAACTCTGGCGTTTTGCATGTCATCCAAATCCTAAATGGTATGGTATGTTTCAATAATGGGACACATTCAGAATGGTTGCCAGGGTCGATAGGTCTCATGTTACTTGTGAGGAGAAATAGGGTAAGTAGAAGATCAAAGATTCTTTTCGCATTCCTGGTGGAATCTGTATTTTTTGTGATTTTGCAGCAAGTGAGTTGTGTTACCCTCAGCCATGGAGTTGATATTTTGAGCATATCAAGCTGTAACACACACTAATGCACGAAGAGTTGGTGTATATGGTGGTGAATCTAGGTAAACTACACATTGCAGAACTATTTCTGAACCAAGATTCTTAAAATTAAGAAGTCAAGGCATATTTCATTACATTCTAAAACAGCTAATACTGTTTTGATGACCTTGATTATGCCCTTTCTGTTGATGACGTAGAGTAAAAGCAAAAGAGGAAGAACCTGTTTTGCCATATGAAATTTTGATAACGGTTATTTTACCTAGTAACTGTGTTCTTCTTACTAATTGCTAGTGTGAGGCAGAAGTAAGGTTTCTGCTTATATTTTTTGTTTCAGAATTCATTTATCTATAGGACTGCTTGAATTGTAACAATATAGAAGAGCTAAAGAATCTCAGTATGGCATACTCGATAAGCTTGTTGGGTGTTTTCATGCCTTGAAGTGCTTTGATTTAATTTCATTTATATATGCCAAAATCTTCCTACGTTTCTAGCACTTACAATTTGAATACTTGCACTGTCCCTGTAATATGTTGCCAAACCAGGTCTTGCAAAGATATCTCAAACCACTAATTAACTCAGAAGTTCCTTGAAAAATATTGAAAGGATTTTAATATGCTTATCTCTTCTAATGCACATGGTGACTCTTTTGGCTCTGTTTAGTATCACAGCAGATGCCCTCCCCTCCTTTCACTCCTCCAACAAAGAAATCTGGTTTATCTTGCATAATAAAGAAATCTCGTCTGAGTGAACATGGCTCATGTTGTATTTTAATATTTCCTTTGATGTGCATTTCTTTGCCACCTCTGAGTTACCTGTCAGGTCAAGATTACTTACCAGGTACTTCATAATGTATCTGCTGTTGCCATTATATCTTAAAGGTGTGATAGGTTTGAGAATGTGATTCCTTCCTGTTATTCTTTAAATATTTTCATTTAAAACAAACAAACAAAGACCACAAAGTTCGTGTTGGTTCACAGATTCACAGGATATTCTAAGTTGGAAGGGACCCACAAGGATCGTTGAGTTCAACCCTTAAGTAAAATCCCATATGGGGATTGAACCCACAATCTTGGTGTTGTTAGCACCGTGCTCTGACCAGTTTTGTGTAGCTTCAGATCACCCTCCCTCAAGTAACAGCAGTAATTTAAGTTGTTGCTCTGGTTTTAAATTTGCGAGTCCAGTATGTTGTGGGATTTTGTCACTTTTCTCTCTTTAAGTGCCCTCATGTCTATCTGGAAAGAATTGCACTGGAATTGACATGGTACTTACATTATATCTTCAAAAGACTTGAGGGGGAAAATGGCTTCCTTATTTATGCTGTTCCTGTCGCCAGGCTGGACTTGGGAGTGGTTCAACTACTACGGCAGACAGTTTGGAACAGATCATGTATTTGCTGCCTCCTGATAAGGAATATTCAAATTTCAATGTGGAAAAGTGTTTGCCTTCAAGCTTAAACAGTGTGTCTACTGACAGCCTTATAGTTTTGATGTTTTAAGTGTTCAATAGTGCAGTCATAGTCACTAGAAAACATAATTTATGTGATTTCATCTTTGTTTCACTGTAGTGCACAGCTCATCACTGTGCTGGATTTACCATGCTGTGGAAAATTTCTTTGTACATATTTCTAGCACACAACTAAAATTTGTCGGCATATGTGGTTAAGAAGAAAGTAATGTTTTGTTGGAGAGATTCATTACATTTGGGGTATCTTGACTTTTAAGAGCTTATTTTCAAATTCCCTAATTTATGTTCTTCAGTGCTCTCTAAGCCAGGGTTATAGAAAGTCATTTCATCAGGTGTGTTTCTTTGATGAGACACTCTTAAAAATGGCTACTACAGGTACTCCAGGGAATTACTGATAAAATCATGAGAAATCCAACTATGCCATAACTTGTCAATAGGAAAATTTAGTCAAAGGTGAGTCAATCAGTTGTTGGTATATGTCCTGATAAAACATGAATTAGGTTTAATCCTGGCTGCAAAGGGGAAGTAGAAGAATGGCAAGGTCTTGGTTTTAATGGTCTCATGCATCACTAGATGGCCTTCCAGACACTCAGCTGGAAGAATACATTTCCATGTTATTTGCCTCCAAGAAGTCAGGAGTCTTTGGCATAATTTTTCTTTTCAAGTATCAAAGTAGCTATCACTATTACAATTACTGTAAGGATACTCTAATACCTGTATTGCTTTTCTTCCTGAGAATATATTTTTAAAAAAACAAGAACTTCTTATTTTGCTGCCTTTTCTCCACCCTAGTTGTCCTCTTTGGTAGGAAAGCCTTGCCTGGCCTTCACACATTTATGATAGTGGCTGTATTATTGTACATTTTGATGTCCTACAACCTTCATCTCTTGTCAACTTTCACGGGAGTGATGCATCAGGAAGTGGATTCTCTTTTGGCTTTATGTGGTACAGAACTGCATCTTCCAGCCATAAGGGTTGATGTTTTTTAACACAAAATCCTTTCTTCTTTGGTACTAGAATTTAGTCTTTTTTTTTTCTTTCTGGCACTCCAAGGTGGATTTGCTGTAATGAAACTCAGGACACTGACTCTAGCTATTCAGGTCATACAAAGAGAAAGTTGGTTTGAGTCCCACTGTTCCAAGGAATTTTTTTCTGCCTTTTGGTGAGTGTTGCACAGAAAATATCTCTGGTGAATGTTTAGTCATGGCCACTGCAAGTACAGGATCTTCAAATCCAAGGAATCTTAGTAGCTCATTTAGGAATGTATCTGTTTCTTTCTGACCTGAGTCATTATCTTTAAAAAATACCACAGTATAGATCCCTGAATGCCGTTTCTCTGTTTTGCTTTACAGTTCGTGACCAAAGGTGGTGCTAAAATCAAGAGGCATTTACTGCTTTTTCCCCTGCTCTGGCAGCCTAATGAGTCTCAAGACCAGTTAGACTAATCTGGCATGCTCTTAACAAATCCACATTTTCTGTTGTTTTCCTCTACTTATCTTCTAGGGAGTTGCAAAAGATGGGTTTTGTTCACTGAGTATTGATGCTAAGCAGGCTACCTCCCAGACTGCTCCTCTTTTCCTGTATTTTTGAAGATGGGAATGCCATTTTTCCTTTTTTGGTCTTCTGATACTTTCCTGGGCCTCTGTAAACCTCAGTGATTCTGGCCACTTTTCTGGGAGATGTTTAGATTGTTTGGGTCTGGTGAAATCTGATTTACTTTTTTTGAGCAAGTATTGTTCCTTCTGTATTCAGGCCACCTGATCAAGCTATTGTTACTGTGCTACTCATGTTAATGATGGGTCATGTTTCATATTTTTTAACAAAGATGTCTGTGAAAAAGGCAGTTAGGTAAAAATTGAAGGGTTGTTTTGGAGAAGACCATTAAAATGCTTTTTCCCAGATTGTAAATAAAATCTTCAAAATTTTTAGCTATAGTTACCATATGACCTCCAGAGAAAGGAAGTAACTGGAATTACCAGACTAATCCTTATGGATTTCAAATGTTGTAGTTAAAACAACAGTGGGAGAGAGAGCACAGTTTTCAGTATCATTCAAATGTTCTTTGAATGAAATGCAAACACTTTAAAAGCATCCATGTTCCCATCTTGAATTTGTTGCTGTCACGTAGGGGTCACTTTGTTAACCATTAATGAAATGAGTCCCCAGGTGCATGTAACAAGATGCGCACATACACAGGTTACTGCAGCAGGTCAACTTCAGAATGTCTGTCCAGACACTTGTGTGCTGAAATTGATGGATGAACAGGCAGATTTTTAAGTGCTTGCCCTGGATTTATGATTGTGACAGTCCTCTGTGTTGCATCTCTTTCTTCTAGGGAGCATGAAGGTTGGAAGTAGCAAAGTGCTTTTGACTGAGGAAAAAAGGCTGGTAATGTAAATACCTGTTCGGCAGCAAAGACCCTGATGTTTCCTGGTGTCCAGTATGGGCTGGTTCAATATATTGTAATATACAGGACTTTTAGGAAAGATCTAAGTGATTTGAGAAATTCTTTCCAATTAAGGTAGTAGCCTCTTTGTGGATTCATATGTAGAAATTGGTGCCTTTTTTTTCCAATTTCTTATTTTCCTGAATTTTAACATTTCTTACTCTTATTATTGGGCACAGATACTGGAAGTTATTTAGTTACCCAGATACTTATGAAATCAACTAGATTTAGCAACATATTCCAGCCATTGGATTAAGCCTCTGTTGTTTTCATGTTGGAATGGAAGTTTTTTTTCTAATCGGTCACTTGTTTTTATTCTAATCACTAAATAGCTAAATAAATAAATAGGTAAACAATAAGTAAATAATATATTTAATCCTCTGGGGAAACTGGCTTATCTTTCAAATAAAGCAGTGGAATAGTTCTTCATGCAAGAATGAAATCATTAACTTTTGTAACATTTTCAGAACGAAAGGCAAGTTAGTATACAGTGAGAATATACATTTCTTGGGTTTTCACTGGATTTGAGAGATCCACACAGATTTATTAATCTTCCAGTTGTAGAGAGACTTCTTGTAATCTGCCTTGCTTAGTGCCTTGTCTCTAGTGGATTTTGACCACTGTTGTAGCTGCACAGAGAGATCCCCCACTGTAGACAGAAATGAAGGATCTTTGGGGCGTGAACGAGTCCTATTCATTTCCATAGTGGAGTTCTAACAATCAAATCTGGCAAACATAGATTGTTTTAGCAGGAAACAGGCCTTTATTCTGGCATCTTGGCAGGGCTTGGGTAGAGTCCCACCATTCTTTCCCCCTCTGGCCCTTGCTTTCAGTGTCTTGAGTAAGCCTGGTTTTTCTCTTGAGGGATTTCTGGTTTTACTAACATGTTTTTGTACTGTGAGTTTAATAAAAGATGCTACTCTGGCCATCGTGGATGTTGAAGTTTTGTGAGTTTCTCCAGTGCATATGCTGAACAAGCATTGTGAGTCAGTCTATAGCAGATCACCTCTGTCTCTGGACAGCAGACTGGGCTCCCATTTCATGCTGGTTCATTGGCAGATAGAATTTCCATTTACTAATACAGCAAGTGTTATTCTAGACACTTAACAATTACTTTTTCCATAGCATAAGTTGTGGTTTACGCTGCAACTCTAGGGTTAGATGAACAAAGATTTTGTGGAATTTACTCAAATTGCAGCAGGATCAGAAGCTGAAGTGGAGAAAAAACCCAAGTCAGTCAAGTCACCTTAGATCATGTGTCTTTTGAATTTTGCTGTGTTTGTAATCAGTGAATTGAAATTGTTTCCCCTTTGGTTATTTCAGCCCTTGACTAACAGTATCATTCTTGGAGTCCCTAGCTCAGACAAATCACATGGCAGATTTTATAATTTTCTGCTGTATCAGGCAAATCTATATATCCCCTGCACAGGATTAAAAGCCCCCTGAGATAGATATCCACCTTGAGAGTGCACTGAAATTCTTGCTGCACAGGAGAGGAAATAGATACATATTTGTATATATGTATACACACAAAAATAGACAATAAAATACATATATCTTACTTTTTCATGCACTCATTCTTGTGCTGAAATGTGATGATTGCTACCGGAAATATCCGTTTTTACTTTTAGCTTCAAGTTCTTTGAATTTATGCTAGGACATGTATCTGCTCCGTGGAGCTGGCCAAAGCAATACAGTGGTGAAGTTGACCCACTTGCTTCAGTGATGTCTGCACAATAACTGAATGAAGAATAAGTGTTGTGTGAAGTTTAAAAATAGGGGTTTCCTCGGTTTTCATTGTGTTGCACATAGTTCATGTTATAAACTACTGCAAGGATGTTATATTTGTAACAGGCAGATAAAACCCTTCTATGCTTCATTTGTATTTAAATGACACTTTCATAACTGTTCAGACTAGGAATTTCTTTTTGTTTAGACCACCTGTATTTTTTATGGATAAGTGGTTTGGAGCCTTACAATACAGATTAGAAGGTGAATTAAATGCTTCCTACTGGTATTTCAAAATGTGGTAAGCCCATCTCATTCACTTATGTAGGTGGATGTCAATATTTACATTCTTGTGCAGAAAGATCCTAGAGTTGAATAGTACTATATTTCCATTTTTAAAGCTCAGAGCTCCTGTATGACTCTTCCAATTCCAAGAAGTCTTCAGAAGCTGAAAGGAGATGAAATAGTATACCTTCTCCATTCTGACAGATGGGTTGTTCTGAATCCCATCATTGTTGTCTCTGATCACATGCACTCAGTGACAGTCAGTTATTGTATATTGATCTGCATAGTGTCATCCTCAGAGTCTGGCTGACCTGTTAGTCTCATTTGAAGGTTGTTGGACAGCATTAAAAAAGAAAGTAAATTGCAAATATCTTCACAACTTCCTAGTCTCACCATCATCCTTTTCTTTTGCCAGGTGTGCATAGTTCTGACTTTGAAGTCTGTGTTTGATAGCTGTACCTTGGGAAAGATATAGCAGTGTTTCCATGTTAATAAAAGACTCCAGGCTTCCTGGTGATCTCACCTAAGATTCACATAGCAACTATTTTTGTCATTTGCTTTCACACTTGTGAATGCTCCAATATCCCTATCCTATGACAGATTGCTAAATGGCTTGTTTTGTCTTTATCCAACAGTCAGGAGCAGTTCTTTTTAGGGATTCTGCCTTAATCCTACATTTCGTGGGCTTTCACTTCTCTGCTTACCAGCATTGCTTTTTACATGAAAAACAGCAAAGAAATACGGGGTGGTACAAACTTTTAACAACAGAACCACGTTATGCTATCCTTCCTAAATATAGTATTTTTATAGCCACATCAAAGTTTCTTTCAAAGGTGGTCTTTGACTTCTTCTTGGATTGGGTTATCCATTTACAAATATTTTTCTTGAAATCACATACTTGCCAAGATATGGAAAGACTTTACTTAATAGGCATCCATAGGGTGCTTTCCGTTTGCATGGAAGAACAAAACAGTTTCAAACATTTCAAAGCTTCTTTGTTGCTTACGTAAACGGAATGAGGGGTCCAGCCCTCTGAATTCCTGACCGAATCTCATTTTGCATCTCTGCTGGCAACAAATTAGCCCATGTAATTTCTGCAGTCAAGTTCAGATTCTGCCATTCATGCAATTCCACTGGAGTGTTTTGTTGGGTATTTTTCTTAACGATATCCACGTTTTAGATCTTTGCAGAGTTAAAGCAATGTCAGCACTCTGACTCTTGTTCATCAAGCATTAGGCCAGGTCACAACAGTCTAAGGTGCTGTCATTCCCTCCAGGGGGATATTTTAACAGTTGACCATGCAAATTTGTAAGCCTCCAGTATTCAGAATACTTGCCAGTACCCAAAGAAAATGGAGTATGGTATATCTCTGGGATACTAACAGTAAAAACACATGGCTTTTTTTACACTCTTATACTCCACAGGGTACAGCCAAAGTGAGAGTTGGTGATTTGCCTGGCTTTCTGGCCTGGCCAGTTTGAATAATACAGGTAGGACAAGCAAAGCAGTGAGTGTCACACGTTCAAGCTGTCTAATAAGCAAGTCACAGTTTGCTGTCACCATTCTCATCTCACTTGGCTACATCCTCTTGACCTGGACACAAAAGAACACTTGTGTCTGTCCCCCTCATCCATCATCCATTGCTCATCTGTTTTTTTGTCCTTTCTGTGGAAACAGCCCGGCCTGGTGAGTTCAGGACCAGC